GCCTAAGTCAGACGGCGATTGGCGTCCCTGCGGTGATTACCGTGCGCTAAATGCCAAGACGGTCCCAGATCGGTATCCTGTCCCCCACCTGCAAGATTTTGCTAGTTCGCTCCACGGCACTAAAATTTTCTCCAAAGTTGACCTCCGGCGGGCATATCATCAGATTCCCGTCCACCCTGACGACATACCGAAGACAGCCGTCGTTACGCCATTCGGCCTCTACGAGTTCGTCCGCATGCCGTTTGGCCTGCGCAATGCAGGCCAGACGTTCCAAAGGTTCATAGACCAAGTACTGCAGGGCCTCCCCTTCTGCTTCGTCTATATGGACGACTTGCTAATCGCTAGCACCTCTCGAGAAGAGCACCTGGAGCACATCCGTACTGTGTTTCAACGTCTCGAGGACCATGGCCTCATCATCAGCCTGCACAAGTGTGAGTTCCTGGCACCGGCCGTCAACTTCCTCGGCCACCGAGTCGACGCTGCAGGTCTCCACACCCTGCCCGAGAAGGTGCAAGCCATCATTGAGTATGCTGAGCCTGCAACTCTCCGTGCACTCCGTCGTTTCCTGGGGCTAGTGAACTTTTATCGCCGGTTCATCCCCAGGTGTGCGAAAATAGTGCAACCGCTCACTGATCTTCTCGCTGGCCCCAAGACGCCGAAGAACAAAGCTATCGTCCTCAGTGACACAGCTCGAGCTGCCTTCACTGCCGTCAAGGGAGCCATCAGCACTGCTACGCTTCTCACGCATCCCCAACCTGACGCTCCGATCGCCCTCATGGTCGATGCGTCCGATTTTGCTGTTGGTGCTGCCCTGAACCAACTGGTCGACTCGACTTGGCAGCCCATTGCATTCTTCTCGAAGCGGTTACAGCCGGCCGAAACACGCTACAGCACATTCAGCCGAGAACTCCTGGCAATCTACCTGTCCATCCGCCATTTCCGTCACTATCTCGAGGGTCGAGAGTTTACAGTGTATACGGACCACAAGCCCCTGACATTTGCTCTCCGCACCGCGTCTGACCGTCTGTCCCCACGCGAGCAGCGTCAACTTGCATATGTGGCAGAGTTCACCACTGACCTGCAGCACATCCAGGGCGTGGACAATGTTGTTGCGGATGCACTCTCCCGACCGTCTGTCAATGCCATCCAGCAACCCATTGATTTCACCAAGTTTGCGGCTGCCCAGACCAACTGCCCAGAGCTCGAGGCACTCCGTACTCGTCCAGACACCAGTCTCGATTTCAAGTCTATCTCGCTGCCGTTCTCTCCGGTCCCGCTCTTGTGCGATGTATCCACCGGTACACCACGGCCGTATGTCCCAGAAGCATTCCGTAGACCTGTTTTCGATTCGCTCCACAGCATCAGCCACCCTGGCATCAAAGCAACTCAGCGTCTGATCACAGCTCGGTATGTTTGGCCTGCCATTTCTAAGAATGTGCGCGCTTGGACTCGCTGTTGCCATGAATGTCAGCGGTCCAAAGTACACCGGCATACCTCGGCACCACTGTCGAAATTCATGCCGCCTGACGCCCGATTCGATCACATCCATATCGACCTCGTCGGACCTCTGCAGCCATCCCAAGGTTTCACGTATCTGCTAACGTGTGTGGATCGTTTCACCCGTTGGCCCGAAGCAATACCACTACGCGACTGTACAGCCGAGTCAACCGCACATGGCCTGCTACAATGGGTGTCCCGTTTTGGCACTCCATCAGTGATCACCACCGACCGTGGCAGACAATTCGAGTCAAGCTTATTCGCTGCATTGTTGAAGCTACTCGGATCCTCCCGCCTACGCACCACTGCGTATCACCCCCAGAGTAACGGCTTGGTCGAGCGATACCACCGCCACATGAAGTCCTCTCTAATGGCACAGGCATCCGGCAGCTGGTCACACAATTTGCCCCTGGTCATGCTCGGCATCCGTGCAGCGTACAGAGCCGATTTAGACTGCAGTGTAGCCGAGCTCACCTACGGCACAACACTGCGTCTTCCTGGTGAATTCTACGAGCCCAGCTTTTCAACCTCACCCAGCCCGTCTCACTATGTCCAAGCCCTCCGCACATCTCTGCAGGCATTACGACCCACCACTCCCAGATCCAGCAACCGTTCCGTGTGGGTGTCCGGCGACCTAGCCACAGCGACGCATGTGTATGTCCGCACGGATGCTGTTCGTAAACCCCTCCAGCCGCCCTATCAAGGCCCGTTCAAGGTTATCTCTCGACACAACAAGTACTTCACCATACTGCTCAATGGCAAGGAGGATAGTGTCTCCGTTGACCGGCTCAAGCCTGCGTATCTCCCCGACACTGCCGCGAGTGCGCCACCTGTCTCGGCCATCCTGCCAGCGACCACCCCATCTGGGTCAGTATCAATTCAGCATCGTATTGTCCGTTGGCATGAGTGAATTCATTGGAATGACTGAATTTCTTGTGTGTGATCGTCATCAGTGCATACACCCTGTATCCATTTGCAATGACTTGTAAATATTATTGTAAATATCCACTTTATATATTTCTCGTTTTCTTGCCGCTTGCTATACCGCATCCGCCATAGCAACACTAATCTTGTACATTTACTTAGCCTTACTCAATCTGTTTTCTACATTTCGTGCACTATCCTTCGTCAGTCCACTGGCGGGGGAGTGATGTCGTGCTACGACTTGCTACGTCATAATTCTCACAGTCACCCACGTGGCTTTTGTGCTGCCCACGCTGCACTTTCCACAATGTTTTTGGAAGCACTGGCTTTAGCGTACGTTAGCATATTGGCGTACCGTATGCCACGAACCTCACTTTTGCATACGGTTGCCGCCAGCCAGCTTGCTTTTCTCTTCCTGACAATCTCTCTCTCTGCTTGCTTGGCCCTTGCCGAAGCACCTTTTTATGGCTCCTTGCCCCTGTACTTATTTCTTGTTCATATGTAGTCTGCCGAATCTTTCTAACTGTAACGTGTAAAGTAATCATTGCCGCTAATTATCGAAGTGTCCGTTGTGACCAGGAAGTGGCCCGATTTGCGCGCCCCCTTAGCAGGCGCAGACCTAAATTTGCTAAACAAACACCGCACTTTCCCTCTAGTTTGAAATGAACTTTCGTACGGAACTGGAGTTCACGCGCCATAACTCAGAGATTGTGTAGGTACTGGAACGAATCGAGCAAAAACGGATGGGCTCGTGCGAGAAATTGAGAGTTTGAATGCATGCTTTCAGAGCGTGATGAAGGCAAGTTACGTAATGAAGGCAGCGCGCCACGCATGCACCCATCATCACAGTTGCATACTCTTGGGTTATGGACTCTTGGTAATATCGTTATAATAATTATAATAGAGGTTATCGTTATAAGGGTAGGTCGACTGTAATAGTAATACGGATGGCGATGTGCAGTGCTGCAAACTAATTACTAGTAGCAAGAGTACATAACCCCCCTTTTAGTTATGTACTCTTGCTAGTAGTATCCACAGTTCATGCATAGACTAGAGCATGATCTAGAAGTAGAAGTACATGTATGACTGTGCAACCTTTACTAATGCCACCATCGTTACCACAATTGGTACATGACTTAATAATAGCCGTCTGGCATAATACAATAACCTTTTTTATTTTTTTATTTTTAATGGCTTTCTCTTCTTCCTCGGATGGTTTACAACCTGTATCACAATTATTTGTGGGTTCAGCAATAAAGGATGTGACCATCGTTACCATGGTTACACATCCATACAGTACAATGCCATGGCAATGGCTGTGAACCTTGAATGCACGTTTATTTCGGTGGTAAACTTAAATTTCGGTAAATAGACCAGGCGCCGAAATTTGGATTACACCTAAAAGGCGCTAGAGTATGCACTGCATGCTGAGTCTGCGTAATGAATGGTGGGCTGGTCACCTAGTTCTACATTACACCTGAAACCTGGCAGGTCCCTGACACCGAAATTTTAGTTCACCTAAAATCACATGTTATACCGTAGGGCAACTTACATGTACAATTGAAGTTGGGAACTAATGACCAATGCCAATGCCAATGCCGGCACACCAGTTGTTTTGACTAGTGTGCACGGTCAGTACAGTGGCAGCCTGTCCCATGCACTGTCCTGATTTCAAAGCATGCAGGACAGTGCTGCTTTGAACCAAAACAATCATGTGTATGCTGCAGAAATTTTTCGGTGGCGTTTTGTTTTCGTCTTGGTCTAAACAGAAAAAAAAACATTTGTTTGATTTTTTAAAATGAGGGTGGCTAACCAATGGCTTGTCCGCCTAGTTACCAAATTCTTTAATCTGTGCACTAAGGTAGATGGCAAGCAAGGATTACATACTATTGCTAATGGCATCACCTTGATCAGCATATTCAACAGACAGCTATGAGTCAAACCAAGAGTACATAACCCCCAAG